GAGACAATCAAACTATCACTTTTCATTTTATGTATTGAACCAATCTTCCTGGCAGTTTAGGTTAACAGGAGAGTTATCAGAATTACACATGGACCCAGAAGATAAAGGTAAATCTAAGAATTAATAAAAGAAACTAAAGAAGCCTCTTGAGGATAGCTCAGGTGGTAAGAGTAGGATTGGATGTAACAATGTGGGTAGAGATCTAGGGCTTATACCCATTTAGCGTGACCCAAAAAAACATCTCAAGGTCACAAGTAACTAGCTTTCGGTACTATGTTAGTAAAGCAAATAAACAATCATCAAAGAAAATTGAGTCTATTCTTCCATGATTTTGCCAAAGTTGTTCATGAAATTGCAGAAAGAATGTTTTAGCCTCATTTCCTTGCTTTCTGCTGGTTGGATGGAGTTTATCATAGTGCATTTGGCTTAGATCTTTGTTTCAAGGCTTCAAAATATTTAAAAGTTTTGGTTGAATCATTTAACATTGTAAACCTTTTTCCACAGTTCCAAGTTGATGTTTCGTGTTAGGCAAAAGCTATTGTTTAAATAAATGAAGTACTAGTTCTCCTGAAGTAATAGTAGCATCTTATTCTTATTGATGATCTGGAACATAAATCGCAGTTCTGGAATGGAATTTTTAACGCTCCTCTCTGGCCGGCGCTTCTTTCTGCCTTACCCTTCTTTTTCTTTCTTCCTCTTCCTGAGCTAAGCTCCATCCAATCAGGCATGAAAGAAAGCACGAATTGAAAAATTCAACCTCCCAAAGCTTTTACCCTTTCTTGATTAGAACTATTAATATCAAAGCCATAAAAATGGAGCAGTGTACTTATTTCTAGATATACGTTCTTCCTTTTGTAATGTTTTCGATTGTCTTTTCATCTCGTTTGTCAGTACATGCTTTTACATCTCTTCTTCACCTTGTTGGTAGAAGTGGCAAATGCTTTCTCTGTTATTTGAGGTTCAACTTTTAGTGAAAGCCTTATTATCTCTCATTCTTGCTTCACAAGTTGAAACCTGTAGTTTTAAACTCTTCATTTCTCATCCCTTTTTTAATCATGCAGTGGAAGCACTATTGTTGGCATTGGTTCACCAGATCCTCCACAATTTGTTTATGATGAAGATACATACAAAGATGTTTTCTTGTCAGGTATGCCCCATTAGGATTTTTTCTTTTTCTTCTCTTTTTTGGGGGGGGGGGGAATTGTTCTCTATCATTAAAACTGAATGGCCCAGACCCAAAAGTGTGTCCCATAACTACACTAAAATCTGCTGGAAACATCTCCTACATTCACATATAATTGGCTGCAAAAAGTTTTCTCCAAGAACGAGACCTGCTAATTTTAAAAAATGTATAAAATTACATTATGCAGAAGGACTAGATTTTGAATAAAATGGCCAGCACATATATGTTATGGTAGTTTATCAAATTAACGAGATTCTGCTTCTGGTACCTTATCAAATTAAAGAATAGAATACGCAAGTACTTCTGCGGTTTGCATGAGGAATACTGCAATTTGATGCTTAGTCATTCCAGATACCTTTATTTTTGGACAAATATGATTCTCTTATCTCATATATCACTTTTGAGGCTGACAATGGGGTAAGAGAAAGCTTAGTCACTACTACTAGCTTAGCACTTAGTTCATAGAAAATAGTGAACTAAGCGGCAGAGCTTACTTGATGCCTCCTAAATCTTCAAACTCTCATAAAACTCAAGTTTAACAAAATTAAAGTGGAGCCAACCTCTTTCCCTTCTTGAAGTTTTACAAACTAGTTGTTTCCTCGAATGATAGATTTGATTTTTCAGGGATTTCTCACCTAAGCTTTTTAAATTGCAGATGCATATTTCCTCACTAGAGAGGCTAACCAGTGGTACAGAGAACCTACCTCAAGCCCTACCCCTTCGTCCTATTCTTCTCAGATTGCTTAATTAGTCTTCTTTCCATTTCCATAAGCCTCTACATGGTTATATATTATCTCCATATTGTAATCATGAAATGATGTAGAACTTAGCTCTGCTGCATTTTCTGCTTTAGTTGCTGCGACTTTCATGAGCCAAATTCAAGGATCTGGGTTCTCTGCTGTACCTTTATGCTGCTACAATTATAAAATTTTAATTTTTTATGGCAAAATTTTACAAAATGGAAATAATTTTCTTGCTATGGCTTTTTTTAAAAAAATGATTGAATATTACAAATAAAAAATAAATATAAAATATGAAGAAATGGCAGCACCATGGTGCTGCTGTTTCAGCAGCAGCAGCAGATGATCCATGTCCTAAATGCAAACATTAGGAAAAGGGCAAAAAGGCTGGCAATGTTTTGTATCAATACTAGTCCTGGGGAAGGAAGTGAAAAATAAATTCAATAAATATGTCTAGGGTCCCTCATGCTTGAGGATCCTCTGAATTTTTTGTGGAATAGTGATGATGGTTATTGTTTTGATGGTCTAACAATATCAAGAATTAGTTTTCATTTTTAATGATACAAGAAATCAAGGTAGAGACATCAAAACAATGTCCATGTTTGTTCTTTCGTTTTGTTGCCCCTTTATGTTGGATGTCATACACGCAAGCTTTGAGCATCCAATAGGAATTATTTACTATATGTTCAACAAGATTAATCCTTCGAAGGCTTACCACGAGAACCAGAGTTGCTAGTTATATCATTTTTGCATACGTGATTGTATATACGTGAAATTCAAATTGCGTTTTTGAAACTCGAAATTACTGCACGTAAGTCGTTGGGCATAGGTGACTGACCGTATTCTGTGGGAATGAACAAGAAAAAGGATAATTGGATGCGATCCAACATGGGCTTACCACCAACAAACGACCTCTTTTTTTTTTTTTTTTTTACATCGGAAGAACCAACATCAAATCCACACACATCAAATGTCTTTCTTTCATTTTATTCATTCAACTTCTCGCCACTCATTCTACAGAGAAGGAGAAGAAACAAACTGTCTCGGTAAACTAAACAGATCTTTCCCTTCAAATGGCGAACTCCACTCCCGAGACCCCCCATTCGAGGTTTCTGCAGAAGCTACTCCACCATCTTGCAATCCAGGCATGGGAACTAAGCTACCATTTGAGGCTACTGATCTCATTGATGGTTGAGTGACCACCCCCGAGGCATTTGAATCGTATATATGACTAGTCTTCGTAAAAGGTGAAAGACCAAGCCATAATGCATTTGACCTCGGTGATGATACACTTCTATCCAAGGACCAGTCTATGCTGGTGTAATCAAATTGCATTGATCCACCAGTGCTCCAGTCCACTGGAGATGATGCCCCTGATGTAGCGGCCGACCCAGATCCAGAAAAGAGACCTAGAGAAGAAGCTGCAGCTAACGTTGGAGATGGACTTGTTCTATTCCATAAGTTGTTCCCTCGGCTGGTTACTTGGGGATCTACTGAATGGCTGCTTGCAGTGACAAATTGATGCTGATGTTGATACTGGAGTTGGTGGTACATCTGATTCGAGCTGAGATAGTTTGGACTGAGACTTCTAGTGCTAGGAGGGCGGGATAAAAAGCCGTTTGACCTCATTACTTCTGAACTGTTAGTCGGATACCAATTGGCAGCCAGTCCAGGAGGAGATGTGCTCATGCTTGTGGCTGGAACATGCTTAGCATTTGCAGATTGAGGCCGCTGCATGACAACTACCGGTTCCCTAGCTGCTCCGGGTTGAAGATTTTTCAAATCACCTCCAACAGCAATATAACGAGCTTCAGCCTTGGCAGGTACCGGTGACACCTGCAAAGGTGATGCTGAAGAACATGACACAGAAAGATTAGACCCGGCACTTGGCCACCTCTTATCAGCTGGAATAGTAGCTTGCTGGGGTTTTGCCCACTCTGTCTTTGATTGAATTCTCTTTAGAGGCTGAATATTTTTACTACTGGATTCCAAAGATCCTCCAACCATAACTGCCGATTTTGTGTAGTTAAAATCCTTTTCATCTTTCTTTAGTTGATTGAGGCTGAGACCGGGCTTCGTCTGGGGCCTAGCACTCTGACTAGCAACTCCTGACTGCTTACCATTAGTAAGAGTAGGTGGATACCCAGTTTCCTCAGGCTTTAGGGGAGCAGAAGGTGGATCCTGCTTCAATTCTTTCAAGGACTCTGCAGCTTTATCTAGATCACCTTCACATGCAACGACTGCTCTCTCAACCTCTTGCTTTGAGCAACAATGCCTTGTTTCCATGTCTGCAATCCGAGCAAGCTCTTCGGATATGTCGATTTTCAAAGTGCTCCCACCTAGTTGTTTATCCTTTTGCTTATCTGTTTCTTCACCACCCTCAAACAGCCATGCAACTGATTCCTCAACCCTTCCTTCATTCAATATCAGTGCCATTGTTGCCCGTTCATGAGAAAATCCCATTGCCACAAGCTGTTGAGCAAGGGCTTCAAGTTTTCTTGACATAAGATAGCCACTGCAACGCTCATGCAATTCTTGAGCTCGCCTTTCCTTCTGTCGTTGATGTTTTCTCTCATTTTTCTGGCGGATTTTCTCTCGCTTGTCATTGTCAGCTCCTGGCACTGTTTCTAATCTAACAGGCAGATTAGAGGCTTTCTCTTTATGGTCCTCTGACTCACCAGACCAACTACCATTATTAGAAACAGAGTCATACTCAACACCAGCTAACAATGAGCCTGCAGGATGATCATCTGTCTCATCTATGTTCCGAAACCGACCATTAGAATGAATGGGAGAGGTAGAAGATGCCGGTGACATTTCAAGAGTATGGAATGTTCCTGATAACGGGTTGTATGCACTAGCAGGTAAACCAGCACCTGCATTATTAGACCCTGGAGACTTTGCAGATGCCTTCTGAGCTTCCTTGCTCCCCTTTTTGGACTTAGATCGAGATCCAGGAGACATGTCCTCAAAATGCAAATAATGCCCTGCAACAAAGAAACACACACACACACACATATTAGAATTTCCCTCCTTTGAAAGTAGACCGTAGATTTGGTAGAGTTAAAATGTATCACAACTAAATACAACTATAAAAGAAAATAATATTATCTCCTTCACTATGTATATATATTTGGCTCATAACACCTACGTGTACGGATCTATTTGCAATCAAGCACTCATTTACAAAATAGAAAAAGACAAATGAATACAGACTACAAAGTTAATGAAAAGAGAACAAATAGAGACAGCAACACCCTAGTTTAACGCATATGAAATTAAGTTAAAATGAGCAAGGATATAAAGATGAACAGGACAAACCAAGAATTACAAAGTTGACACAAAGGGATAGACATTACTTAAAATGGCTTTCAACATGCAAGTAAAATGTATGCACAAACACAGATTATTTTTATCCATTGTTCTACATAATGAACTGCAACTTATTTGTTTATTATGTTTCTATTTAGAAAATTCAGCACTGTGACTTATCACGACGCCATATCCTTTACACCAAAATTCAACATGCGGCCAAAATTGAACATAGTGAAAGTAGTACTTTTCCAGTAGAACAAAGCCAAACAGCAATACAAAAAGTAGCTACAGGACAAAAAGTCTTGAAATAAGAGAATTTCATGAAAACACTAGTTAAGTCTAAATTACTATATTACTAGCTGCGAGACACATAATACATCTAATTTAATGCCCATTCTTCTAAACAAAGTTACAATTTCAGATACAATATCTCTCTCTCAACAATAAGAAGCTTATTTAATGCCCATTCTTTTCAAAGTTTTAAGTATCTCCATTTCCCTTCAAAATCATAGAGACAGTAGCATAACCGTTCAAAATTCCTTATGTATCAGTCCCCTCACCTCAGAATAAATAAATTGGCCTTGTTTGTCATTCAATTCAGAATGACCTAGCTTGCACTTGCATGACCATATTTCAAGAAGCATAAGAACACAAATTCGCAATCAAATAAAAGAGATATATTGCTTGCTCAACTGATTTTACCACATTCAATATTTCTACATATCTCCAACTGTCCAACATTAAACAGAGGTCAATATTGCAGATATAATATATTCACTCTGGAGCATGATTGTACTTCAAACAAAAAGAGCATCAATGTCAACATAAAAAATTTTAAACGCAAAATATAGATAAATTGTATGCCTATGTACCGAATAAGCGTCAGGGATGCCTACAATGGCATAATTACTTCAGACCTTACATGTAGAAAGTCTTGTATAATCTAAATAATGAAGACCCCTTTGCCTATCAATCAAATTCAACATTTATGATCTACCTCGCCCTTTATTTAAAGAGCTATATATATATATATATATATAGCACAGATACTTTCAAGTTCCTTGGCCCATTGGCAACACAAAGTTGGATACATTATAAGCACACACTGCTGAAATCATATCATGAAAAGCAAACACCAGATGGGCATAGATGCAGAGACTATTATAGTGTAACTAAAACTCAAACTTTTTTACCAAAAAAAAAAAACTCAAACTTAATGTTCCGCCCCAACTATGTTCCAGAATGTCACAATTATTGGCCTTCTTCTCTTAATTTTCAAAATTCGGCAAGCAGCCAGATACCAGTTACCCATTAAATGGACGTTTATGCCCCGAAAGTTACAGCTTTCTAGAGAAAATGAATAGATTGCAAATAATTGCTAAATAAGAAAAACTCACAAATCCACATTTAATTGATATTATTAAGATGAAGAAGCTGCAACCATCCAAGAAGAACTAAAAGAACGTAAAAGCCACCGCGACTCTCTAGGATCCATAATACTTCGTCCAAGTCAAGAGAACCATTGCAAAAGAGCCTAGAGTCCCAATTCCCGCCCCGCAAAATCGACAAATTAGAATGCAGAATCCAAATCACTGAATTCAAATAATCACACAAACCGAACCCTAAAGCACAATTCTATCCTCCAACAATCAATACAGCGGCTAATTCGAATAAGATCATGAGGCGGGATATGAGGAAATGGAAATAACAACGCAGAGAAGGACGCAACGGCGAGCCACCAACCTTAAGTCCGAGAGAAAATAGCGTTGACGATTGATACAGAGATCGTTATTGAATGACAAAATCGTTTAGAAGCTAGGGAAGGGAATATGGTAAGAGAGAGATAGGTTTTTCGAGGCTCAAACTGAATTTGGTAGAATTAGGGTTTTGAAGAAATGGAGATCTGGGAGGAGAAAAAACTCCACATTGTCCTATTAACGGAAGATAAATATTTCCTGCCTTAGTCCCTTCTTTTTCTTTTTTTTCTTTTTTCCCTTTTTTCAACAATGTTATTTAAACGCTTTTAAGTTTTTCAGTAAAATACAGCGATGTTTCCTCAATTTTACTAAAATTACATAGATATCCTCTTTATTTTCAAAATCTAAATTTTACTATGGTAAAGAAAATTCTTTAAAAAATTATAAAATATTATTTTAGTAATAAAATTATATTATTTTAAACTTTGAAATTGTTATTTTTTCTCATAATATAATTGTTTTTTAACGAGCTCATAAAATAATTATTTACTCTATGCAATTTAAAGAGTATAAATAATTGAGCATAGAAATATTTAAATAAATGTTTCAAAAACTCTTATATTATAATTAATAAAATTTAAAAAAATAAATATAAGTGGTACTGTCTAATTTATCTTTCGTTATATTAAATCCTAATTCTGTGGTACTTTTTCACCTTTTTTCTGGCACTTATATTAAATCCTAATTCATTGAGCGTTTTTATTTACTACATCTTAAAGATATTTTTTATTTATAATAAAATAATAAATGAATTAATAAATAAGTTTATATAATTAAAAAATAAAATTTAAAATATTATGAGGAAGTTTAAAAATGTGTGCAGTAAAAAACATTTTTTGTTAGCCTAATTATTTATAATAAAATTTGTGTTAAAAAGTGATATTGCAGTTCAAAATATATAATTAAATAGTTAATTAATGATTAGCTGAATAGAAATAGAATTTTAAAAATTAAAAAAGTGTCTTTATTATGTAATAGTTAATTTTCCATATTGGTACCCCTAAAGTCTGAAGCTTTCTTTATCATTACTTACATAGGTACAACAAAAGGTCAAATTCAAAGGCTTCACATAATTTATTTTGTTGTAAATAGCCTCCTTTTTTGAATTGGAGGCTTGGAGCACTTTTCTTGTCATCCTCAAGTTCTTCAATAAAATTCATTTTTTAGTGAGGTTATTACTTCTTCACACCGTGTTTCTTTAAGCTTTCTTCATGGAAATATTTCACAAATATAAAGTTCTATAACACCAAGATTAAGAACTACTTTACTTCCTTATTTTTCCATCACCATGAATCAACATTGCGATTTTCACGAATTCGTTTGATTTCTTCCCTTTAAAATAGTATTTTCACTCTTGAGTTATTGTTGAGTTGGACGAGCTTGTGATTTAGGAGTCAGTTGCAAATGGATTCAAGGTTACACGAGCATATTATTATTATTGTTATTATTTTTTTCTTTTTGAATGAAAGCTAAAAGATTTTTTTTTTTCTTGAATGCTCTCAACGTAGCAAGTGGCTTGTGTTTGGGAACAATATACACTTCCAAGAATTAGATGTTAAAAAATATAAAATATTTTTAATGTTTAAAGTGTAATTAATGTATTTTTAAGACTTTTAATAAATAAATCATTCTATATTTATTTTTAAATAAAACACCCCATTGAAAAAGGATAATTTATAAAAAGATTATGTTAATTTAAAAATAATTAACTAATTTATCAACGATAAAATTTGATTAGATATCAAAATAGACCAAACCCCTTTTAAGCAGCTTACAACCTAATCTGATTAGAGCCTAGCTTATTCATCAATAAGCCAAGCCTCAAACTTATTTGGTGGCCTATATACCTAAATAGGCTAAGCTTGAATTTTTCAAGTTTGGCCTGTAAGCTTGTAGGCGTTGCCTATTTAGGTATATTATATATTTTATATATTTATATATAAAATTTTATTTAAATTTATAGATTTATATGTGAAATTATACTTTTTTGGTGTAATTATATATTCCATTTTATTCAAATAGGTTTTAAGTCTTTAAACTTATTTAAAATATGAAAAAGAATAATAAAGTTAAGGCTTTGAAAGATGGTGATGGAAATTAAAGTTTTGATCATGAACAACTACAGAACATTATTGTATCTTACTACGAAGATTCATTTAAAGCAAAAATGGTGGATTAGAACAATACTTATTCAAGTAAAGCATATCCGAGGCTAAGTAGGAAGGAAGCTGCTTCTTTATCTTGTGAAGTGATAGATGAGGAGATTAAACAAGCCACTTTTGAAATTGTTGCCTTTAAGGCTCCTGATCTTGATGGTATTCAAGCTATCTTGTATCAACAACATTAGGAAGTTCTAGGGGATTCAATATGCACTTTGGTTAAGGAGGTATTTCGGGAACCTAAGAAGCTAGAGAGGATCAACAATACACACCATGTCCTTATTCCTAAGATAGATATACCAGAATGCATGAAAGATTTCAAACCTATCTCACTATGTAATGTGAGCTATAAGATTGTTTCTAAGGTGGTTGCTAATAGAATCAAAGGTCTTATGCTTGAGCTTATAGGCAATCACTAAAGTAGCTTTATAATAAGAAGGCAAAGGGGAGATAGTATAACCATTGCCCAGGAAGTGATCAACACAATGAAAAGGACAAGATGAAAGAAGAGCTTTATGCAGTAAAGGTTGACCTTGACAAAGCCTATGATAGACTTGAATAACTTTTAATTAAAACCTACTTAGAAGAAGTGGGTTTTATGAAAGAATTATGCAAAATCATTATAGAGTGCATTAGTATCCCAAAAATCAAAGTCTTATGGAATGGTGAACTATCTAGAGAATTTAAACCCTCTCTTGGTCTCAAATAAGGAGATCTTATTCCCCCTTACATATTCACTCTATACATAAAAAAGTTGAGTCACTTCATTAAAGATGAAATAAATAGTGGGGAGTGGAATGCCATTTAGCTAGTAAAAGAGGGGCCCAATTTATCACATTTGATTTTTGTTGATAATTTGATGTTATTCAGTAAAGCCTCTCCAAGTCAAATGGATGCTTTGTGTAACATCCCGAAATTTTAAGACTCGGATTTATAAAAATAAAATAAAATAAAATATCTATAATTAAATTAAAATTTAGAATAATTTGATAGAGGTCTAGAGTTTGAATTTTTCTAAGCAAAAGTTTAGTTTTATTTTATTTTTTTTAACTATGGGAAAAATTACCAAAGTTGACCCAGGCTTTTGTGCAATAATAAAAAATGTTGGGTCATTTCTTGTAATTTTTCCCAAACTTTTGAATCAGCTTTTATAAGGGAAAAGAGATGCAGAAACGCAGAAAAAAGGAAAGAACAAAACGCAAGAGAGAGAGAGAGAGAGGAAGAAGAAAGGAGAAAGAGAGGGAGTTAGGCTCGGATCTAGGAGTCTTTGCGACCGTTGCAAGCTCGGCTACACGATAGGTAAACTCCCTACTTCAATCCTCTTCTCTTTCTCTTGATTTTCTTCAATTTTTGGAAGAGGAAATTTTTGGATTTTGATCCCAAAGGCTTTATTCCTGTAAGCTTTTGTTTCTTTGGATCCTAGAGAGCATGTTTTGAGTTTCTATATAGTGATCTAATGTTTTGAGTGAATAATTGGATGAAAAGAGGTGTTTTGGGCACAAAATAAACCTTGAGAAATTGGGTTTTTGCTCCTCAATGGTTTAAGCCTATTGATTTAGTTATAATTTTGCTATTTGAGCCCAATAAGATTTAAATTAAGGTTTGGTTTTCATTATAAGGGCTAATGGTGAAAGTTGGTGGCACTAAGTAAAGGTTTTTAATTGATTAAAAAAATTATATAAATTGAAAATTTGCCTAGTGATGGCTAATAAATGGTTTTGGTGGTTAAGTGATACTATGTGAATGGTTGGTTTAATATATAGACCATTAGGGTGGATTATGACTCATTGACCTAAGTTGTGTGGTATGAGTTATAGTCTTCATTAATGCTATTTGTCATGATAAGTGATGTGGATCACTTATATGTTGTAGAAAATTGTTGGTGGAACTTATTGAGAAGTAAGGAACAAGTCGAGCCCTATTTTGTATAAGGGGAACCCTTTTGGTACCAAAGGGTTGAGGTAACAGGGGAAATTTACATTTTCTATTACTTTGTTTTAGCTATTTTTGAATAAATATTACTAGTTATCATGCATTACATGTTTTAAAAGATTAAATGTGCTTTATAAGGGGTTATGGGGTACTACTTTGATTATAGTACAAATATGTTTTCTAATTGTTTAATAACAATGTTTTTATGGAAATGAGATTTATAAATATTATACTACTTTAGAGTGTTGAATGGTCAATACTCAGGAAAGGTAGACAAGAGTAAAAGGCATGATCTCGGTGGGAGTTCACCAATGAGAAGGTGTGGATTTTTGATATTCTATGGCACACTGTCAGTACTCAGTGTTGTCTTACGTATTGTGGGCTCAGTGCACTAAAGTGGTTAGTGTATTGAGTGTTCGACACCTCTCAGTGGGGGAGGGAATCTAACATATGAAGTGTGAGGTTGAGTGCCTAGGCCAAGGTAGCCCTCACATGGAAAGTAAGTTGGGCTGGCTCTGGGAGGGAGTTAGCTTCAACTGCTTAGGATTCACGTCGAAGGGGCATAGGAGGTTTGGTGGATTAGATCATGCCTTAGATTATATTTTGTGCCTGTAGAGGTACAAGTAAGTATAAGGTTTACCTGCGAGTTAAAGAGCCTCAGGGGGCATTCTGTTGGTCATGAAAGGCCATACCGGCCTAGGTCATGCATTCATGCATTTTAAATGGCTAAATTATATACTATGTTGAATTTATTATTCGTTTATTTGATTATGGCTTACTTTGTAATAATCAATGTAGATTTCACTGTTACTGAGACTGTGGTTGTCTCACCCCTTTCTTTTCAATATTCTAGGTCCAGGCGAAGGATCTAGTGGTGGACGGGGAAAGGAGCAAAGCTAGGGGTTTGCTTGTGATTTGTAAAGAACTGCAACCCCTTTCTTTTGAGCAAATATATTGTAATGTATTTAAGATTAGGGTGCCAGTAGGATATGATTGTGTGTGTGTGTGTGTGAATATGTGTGGATTGTGTGCTTGTGTATGAATTTTTGTCTGTTTGCAGACTTGTAGCTAGGAAACTTGG